CGCATCCTATAAATACTGCGACTGCCTGTACACTAGCCACCCTTTTCTGCAACTGTCTCTGATGATGGATTCAAGAGAGAATCCGAAACGTCAGGCGAATAAAGCCATTGTTCCAGCGATCGCTTCTTCTTCTGATCAGTTCAACCATCGTTATGCTGATGCCCACAGCGTGCGTGAAAGCAGGGCGGGTAGGGGGACGACGACTTACGCATGAATTAGCTCTTGGTGATAGTATACTTGCGCTGCACTCACCACACTCTTGCTTTCGCGTCCACATAGACCCGTTGTCATGAGAGCGTCAGGAAGACCAGGAGTGTAATCTCGAAAGTGTCTGGCACGTCGTGGGCCCGTGTCTTGGGGTGCAACAACGCCCCCATGTAGGGCAACCGTTATGGGTGCTCAGCTCGAAAATGCGTCAACCAACCATACCCAACCCGAGGTTTGCCACCTCCTGGGCTCGATCTCGCGACCTAACCACTGGACCACGGACTGTTTGCCCCTTCGAAGGAGACAAGTTCTTTGGAAAAGAGTATCAATTCTTATTATGTTAATTTTCGACGCTGGTTCCCCAGGTCGTCGGCAGAGGTGCAGTAAATGCGCGAAACAGTTAAGATCTTAAACGTGCCTCGAAAGATCGATATCACGTGATCATTCCTGCCAATAAACCCTCACTGTGGACTGACATCGCCTTCAGACTGGCTGTCGCCTTCTACATTTACTTTGAGATTGCTGTACACGGCGTCCAATCCGATGCGTCGACTAATGCATGAGACATCGGAGTACATGTTCTCCACAAATTCTCGGTCTTTCTTAAATGGGTAGGAAGCAACAATGCAGGTCTTTTCCCAAGCAAATTTGCGACCATTTTCCAGTATATGCATGGCAACTTGGGGCAACTGATCTCGCCTCTCTTCTGACAACAGGCAATATGCATTCCGAGCCGATACAATGGAGCAAAATGAGGTTCTTCGGAAACACTCGAGTTGTACTCGTGAATCTTCAAGTTGGTGAAATTAACCCGTCGTCAGGCGAAATGAAGGCAGAGGAGAAAGTGAGGACAAAAATCAATGAAATCGCTCGTCCCAGGAGGTCCTATGTCCAAATGTCTCCAAGTTTATGACCCCCGGTGATCCCTGTATTTCACAGGCGCATGGTCTCCTAAAGAAGCACAAAGTGCACTCATCGGATCACCTACTTATGATATACTTAAGTGGTTGTACAGTCATCTGAAGCAGTTTACTTACGGACCTGAGTACAGCATTAACAATCCTCACGCATTCATCCACAGGATCCAAGACCTACGACTAAGTACTGACGAATGCATCCTGTCTTTTGACGTTGTTGCCTTGTCTTCCTCTGTACCACATGACTTGTAAATTGGAAACGTAGTCCAACACTTATGAGACAAGTCTGTTGGGATCCCAACGCAGCACGTTTTAGAACTTCTGAAGTTCCGGCACAAGAACTTCTGTCAATTCGACAATAAGTATCACGCACAGGCTAAGGGAACCCCAATGGGCTCGCCAATATCAGGACTACTCGCAAAACTGGTCTTACAGCGACTGAAAAAGAGGTTATTCAAACGGTCAAGCAAAAAATATGGCTTCGCTACGTAAGTGATGCCTTTGTCACCATAGATGAATGTTAATTCGAACGGCTGCATCAGAGACTGGATGACGGCTTCTCAGTGCAGAAGAGGCAGCAGAAGACAGCCTGCAGTTTCTGGATGAGAGAATACAAAGGCTGACTGTTGGTAATCTCGCAGCGAACATTTGTAGGAAGGGATCGAATGCCGATACCATCCTAAATTACAAGAGTAACCACCCTGAAGCTCACAAAGGAGGCCGCGCCCGAAATCTCTTCAACCGGGTCCACCGCTAGTGCATCGGTTACGACCTTCCAAGGAAAAAACTAACTTCCCTGTATCGGTTGTTCCGATCTAACGGATATCTGATCCGTCCTATGAAGAACTGCCTCAGGCGTCAGCCACAACCCTCCGGGTCCCACTGGAATTGACAGATCTTGACGTAAAAGTGTCTCTCCCTATGAGGTTACCATCCGGTAGTCAAATCGAGTCGGTATCAGCATTACTAAACTTCCAGCATCACCTCTAAGCGTAGCATTACCTCGAATAAAGGATCCTATCCCCAAAGAGCAGCAAACAAATGTGACCTATTGTTTTCCGTGTGCCAATAGCCTCTTTGTGTATGTTGGTCACACGGGTTGACGCCTGAACACTCGCATTAATGAACACAAAGTATCCCTCCGTCGCCATGGCCCACTGTCCCTCGTCTTTGCGCACATGTACTCGGATGCGACCACCCATCCAACTGGGGCCATACTGAGATCGTCGCAATGGCCAAAACAAAACGCACGAGAGAATTCCTCGAGGCTTGGTACTCCAGTGTGGGCAGTATCAGCCGCCATGTTCACCTAGATGTACTTTATGAGGGCCCTGATCACGGCCGCACTGAGCCCTGCCTTCAGCCTCCCACAGCCCCATAAAACTACCATCCTACCCCACCCCTTCCAGCTCAGGAAGCCGTAACTGTTCTCCCCTCCTCTCCTCCCGGCTCAGAATTCACCGTGATCCTATGCCCACATCACCCCTCGCACACGCTAAGGATCTGTCTGTCCTGTCGCACCAGCTGGTCTATTGTGACGGTCACACTTTATCTTTCGTCATCATCTCGTCTGACGACCTGTTTGTGTCACAAATCTGAAAATTCACGAGTACAACTCGACTGCTTCTGAAGAACCTCCTCCATATAAACTAGATGTGTGACAGATGGACGCTCACCAGTCGCGTTACGGAACGTGCTTTTTCCGTTGTTCCTTGGGTCTCATACTAGAACCCTCGTAGGCAGTCGCCCAGAGACTAGTAGTAGAGATAAATGAGACAGTATGTTATTACCGGCAAAGACAAACGAGACCGGAATGACTAGTTCTGGATTGTTTGTCGTCGTCAGCCAGTCATACCAACCCAAAGTGTGGATCACTTGCGATTCGAAACCGGGATCTGTGGTTATGGAGATTGACACTCTACCATTGAGCCACGGGCCCGTTGTCCTGTCGGTTTTGATCGGGAATACAAATTACGACAGATGGGCGCCCACAGATCGGGTTACGGAACGTGCTTTATTACCAGGCGCTGTGCGACTGCCTGCGAGGGTTCTAATATGAGTCCCAAGGCAGAACGGAAAAATCACGTTCCGTAACCCGATCGGTGAGCGTCCATAATGAATATTCCCGATCACAACCGACAGGACAACGGGCTCGTGGTTGAACGGTAGAGTGTCAAACTCCATGAACAAAGATCCCGGGTTCGAATCTCAAGTGATCCACACTTGGTGTTTGGGTATGACTGGCTGGTGACGGCTATTAAGCCAGAAAGGGCCATTCCGGTCCCCCTTGTCTTTGTCGGTACTATCTCATGCGGATATGTACATGTCATGGTGGAGAGAAACTGGGATGTCCATTTCTACCTAACCGGCCATCATCGGCCAGCCATAGTCGACCCCAGGTTTGTATAAACTATGATCCGAACTCGAATTATTTGGCAATTGAACGTTAAGTCCGTCGCTATACCACTGAACCACAGACCCGCTGCCCTCTCGATTGCGATCAGATATGTCGTTATGAATATTCATTTCTGGCCTATTAGTCGTTATCTGCCAGCCGTACTTACGCCCAGGTCTGGAGATACCAGAGGCTTACCTGATTAATTCTGTTCCCTCTTTATAGCTCCGCGATCAAATGTGTCAATGACGCTATTGTTAAGAGTGGTTTTCGCAAATAAATTTTGCTTCCAACCTAAATGTCCTTGTCCACAATGCAAATTTTGACTGTTGAAAAACTTGCGGTTCCTATAAATCGATCGTCAGAACCGAGGACGCACTTAATGAATTTAGTAATGGTTTATTAGCAAGACATCTGCGTGACAGGCCGTTAAGAATCCACTTGTTTGCGAGGTTGTATTCCCCTTCCTGTGTCAGCACAACCCCACCGTGAAGAAGATGATGCAAACTCGTGTTTGTGATACGGAGTGTTTTTTAAGTTTTCAAAGCTTTTGGGAAAGACGCATCCAACCCAGACACTGGGTGGTGCTTGCTACATCTGACTTGACACGGCAGACAGAACCCGACTTCTCCTTTGTTCGGCTATGATTAAGATTTCAGAGCATGTGACAGGGTCATAAGAGCTGTAAGAACCAAATCGATCTGAGTTTTGATTGTGGGCGATTCGCGCTCCTCTGCGAATCGAGCGTCCTCTGCCCGCATGAATTCCTACTTCCGAGGATTTGCGCCCTCGAAAAATGATTTCTACATTCTTGATCCAGCGGGCGGCCATCTTCCGTTCTCTGTGCACTCATGGAGAGTGTATCCTTCGACCAGGTTGCGGGACATATAGTCGTCTAAACCATCGACGCAGAGAGCGAACTAGTCCGACGGCGCTTAACTACAGCTATCACGAGGGCATTCCCTGCGGCGAATTTACGCGTATGCTTCACAAACTCTCCCCTCCTACGTTTGGGAGGTAAAGACAGACTACCGTTGGAGGCCACATCAATGTGCATTTATTCATTCACTTGCTCCTGTGGAGCAGGATACATCGGCCGCACAACGAGACGCCTGTTGAAGAGGGTGCGTGAACATATGCCCGCCTGGCTAGACAGAGGTGAGACCCGGTCGATTTTTGAGTTATATTCTCGCGCATTTAATCGATACGAATCACCGAGTCGATGCCAAGAAAGCATTTCAGGTTGTCTACCGGACACCAACATGCTTCTCTAAAGGCCTGCGCCAACGGATACTAGCAACGGCCGAGGCAGTAGCTATACGGTTAGCGAATCCGGTGTTATGCTGTCAGAAAACCCTAACACAAGCGCTCTCTCCGCCGTGGCCAACGCCAACCCCAAGTGATGAAATCATGCCGAGTTTGCAAAATGGAAGGCAATGCGGACTGGTGACAGTGACCGCACCGTCAGTATCGTCGGAGAACCGCCAGATGGCATTAGTTAATCACCACTCGATGTTTCACAGCGGTGGCTGTAGGTTAGCCAGCCAGAACACTTTTCTCCGCTGGACACTTCGACGACTTGGATGGAATGCGGATGATGAACAGATTGTCAGAGTCCCATCTCAGACAAAACCTGAGCACGGTCTAATTAATCATCGCGTACGCAGCACACCCACTCGCCCCCCCCCCCTTAACGGGGGCAGTGATGCACTTTGAGAGGGCAGTGGGCTATCGAGACAGACGACCGTCTGCTTGATGCTCTCTCTCCCCCACCTCCACCGGCTGGGTAGTGTTCTACGCATGTTTATTCGCCGTCTTCCCAGACGGAGCTTGTTTGTCAACATGTCGGCAAAGGCTACACCAGCCGACGGGACAGTGGAAGTAGGGAGAGCTTCAAAATGCCCACTCCTTGTGAAAACACAGCCCTCGTATAGCTTCTAGTCTTCTAGAGGGCAAATAAACAGACCAACCAAACATACTGATAATCTGATCATCACGGATGGCAGCATCTCTCGCGCGCACCACGGGACAGCGGTGACTTAGGTGACGTCTACTGCCCTCTCCCTCCTCCCTTCCCCACTTTGCTCTGCTGGCATGACGACCGGAGGTTGACTCAGCCACAGTGCGTCTACGTGCGCCGCACACGGCCCGGCTCCCACCACTTTTGATAGGCGTCCGTAAGGACGGCACAAATCTCATTTGCATGAGAATGTCGCAATGGCCATATTAGGAGGGAGCAGTTGCCACCTGGCTCAGGGTCACCCACTCACTCCGAGGATTGAGTTACCTTCGGCCTTCCAAGCCACGACCAAACTGATCACAACTCTGCTGCCATACATCTGTATAATGGTGAATATGAAGCGACGGAAAGGGATCCTGGATACCGAACCGGACACATAATGAGCGTTGGTGGATGCGGCGGACCGACTTGTGATGCTCAAGTATCCCGAACTAACGACGCAACCACCCAGACCTTACCATCGCCTCCATATACTCGACGGACGCTGGGGGCACCGATTCGCCCAGTTGGACATCTGCGGACCCAGTCTCATAGTAAGACAACCGGCCCGGCAGCACCAGTGAGGATAGTCCCGCGCACCAGCCACGATGACTCTGTTCACCCGGTCCATACTGCTAGCGTATATTTGCCTCACGCGTCAGTTGCAAACCCCCCACACTGAGATCGGTGAACGAATACAAGGAGCTGAAGCACACATTTGCCACATCCGTCCCAGGGGAGTCGGCCATCCCATGGGCATATTCGGTCACACGAAGGTGTCAGGCAGGTGTTCGGTAGAGTAAGTCAGCCCAGACACCAACGTACAAAGACGAAAAAAACAGGCGCACACATACAGCAGCTATCAACAATCACGCACAACACGTCTGCAGCATGTATGAAAGTCAGTCTGACGCTGTTGGAATGGCTGTTGAAAAAGCATGTACGAACCAGTTGAATGGTCGTGTGCGATACAGGTCAGTTACTGCGTTCAGACCCACCTCCGCAGCAAGATGATTGAGGGGGGGAGTGGGGCGAAGCAGGTGCATCGCAAGTCGGCATCTTTGGGATCCAGTGCACGCATAAGTTACTTCTGCGCCCACCTCGTGAACGGACTCACACACACACACACACACACACACACACACACACACACGACAGTTCGTCCGTCGATTTCGACGATGACCACCGTGTGCCCCACAGACTGCATTGTGGGAGCAGGGACGGTGATTTGCGCAGGGGTCTATAGTGGCAGTAGACTTGCGCTGCATCTACCTACACTCTCTCCTCCTCCCCCGCCTGAGCCCGGTGTCAAGACAGAGTCAAGAAGACCGGAGACGAGGGAGGCCGCAGGTGGATGGCTCGGACGGATCCTCGCCTTGGCGCTCCACTCCGCACCCCCTGGTCCACACACAAATGACCAGGATTTTGACCACAAAACAATGGGGTGGAGGCAGTGGTCCAGTTGTGCGACGAATGCCGACAACAGGGTCCGCAGCCCACCCCGCAAATGTTGGCATTTGTTATTACGCAAAGATAACGATGCCAGAGTCCGATGTGGCCCCCGTGTTGGTCCAGCGCATCTAACAGGTGGCCCGTTTTGAGGGCACGAAAATTACACACACACACACACACACACACACACACACACACACACACACACACACACACACACACACACACACACACACGACAGTTCGTCCGTCGATTTCGACGATGACCACCGTGTGCCCCGCAGTCTGCATTGTGGTGGATGTGTTGGATGTCGTGGCTGTATCGGAATTGTGGTCAATTCCGCTCACGTGGATGCGCATGTGGCCGAAGAGACCCATGCGATGCCTGAAGGTGCGAGGGCAGTGTGGGCAGTGGAGGCGAGTGCGGTGAGTGTAGGTTGGTGCTCCAGGCACTGGTTCGCCAGTCTCTGTGCGATGGATTCGCAAGTGACCGACCAGGCCGATGCGTGAGGTGAAGGTGCGATCGCAGTGAGGGCAGATGTAGTCCTGGCCCTCACGTCTGATGATGGAGGTTGCAGGGGTTGTGCCTGTTGTTGTGTCAGGTGCGGCGGTGGTGAAGTCATGGGCGGCAGACGCCGAAGCGGCCGTCGTTGTGGCAGTGATGGAGGAACAGGAGGAGGAAGGGGAGGAGTGAGGGGTGGTAAGGTCGGTGGCGTCGATGTCGGCTGGGGAGTGGTTAGTGGGTGCACAAGGTGATGGATTGGGAGTGGGGTGCGGCGGGGTGGGTGTGTCAAGGCTGCGGTCAATTCCGCTCTCGTGGATGCGCATGTGGCCGAATAGACCCATGCGATGAGTGAAGGTGCGAGGGCATTGTGGGCAGTGGAGACGAGTGCGGTGGGTGTAGGTTGGTGCTCCAGGCACTGGTTCGCCAGTCTCTGTGCGATGGATTCGCAAGTGACCGACCAGGCCGATGTGAGAGGTGAAGGTGCGGTCGCAGTGAGGGCAGGTGTAGTCCTGATCCTCAACACTGGAATCGGGGGGAGTGGGGGTGGTTGTGGTTGTTGTGTCGTGGTTGGCGATGTGTGAGACGGCAGCCTGAACGGCCTCCGAAGGGGCAGTGTAGGAGAAGGAGGAGGATGGAGGTGGTGGTGCAGAAGGAGTGTCAGAGTTAGTTGGCGGAAGAGAGGAGGAAGAGGCGGGCGGGGGGACGATGGCTGGAGCAGTTCGAGAGGTGCAGTTGGTTCGGAGATGTCCAACAAGTCCGATTCGTGCCCGGAATGTCCGTTGACATCGAGGACACGTAGGGAGCGGCTGTGCGGCGGCGTTGCGTGTTGGGCGAAGTTGTGATTTGCGGGCTTCGCGGTTCACTTTGGCGGCGGCGATTCGGTTGGCTTCATAGATGGCAGCTCCCGTCTTCACTGTTCTCCTCCATGTCGGACGATCGCGGGCGAGCTCTTCCCAGTTGGTCGGGTTGATTTGCAGGCGCTTCAGGGAGGATTTCGGGGTATCCTTGTAACGGCGAATTGGGCCTCCTTGACTGCGAGAACCCGTCGCGACGTCTCCGTAGAAGAGTCGTTTGGGTAGTCGCTCGTCGTCCATGCGCACCAGATGGCCGCTCCAGCGCAGCTGCATTTGTCTCAGTATGGCGTTGATGCTCAGAATTCCCGTCCATTCCAGCACTTCGGTGTCGGGGATGCGGTCCTGCCAGTTCAGCCTCAGGATGCGACGGAGTCAACTGAGGTGGAAGTGGTTCAGTCGGCGTGCCTGCCTCGTGTACACCGTCCAGGTCTCCGCTCCGTACAGTAGCGTCGGCAGGATGACGGCCTTGTACCTCTTCAGCTTTGTGCTCAGTTGCAGACCGTGGCGATTCCAGACTGTGCTTCGGAGGTGACCGAAGGCTTGACTGGCTTTCGAGATCCTGTTGGCGACTTCGTCATCGATCTTGGTGTTGCGGGAGAGGGAACTGCCAAGATACGGGAAGTTCTCCACCACTTGCAGTTGGGTTCCGTTCACGCTGTTTTGCGGCGCGTTGGGGGCTGTGACTGAGTTGGGTGGCGGTTGATGCATCACCACCGTCTTCTGCGTGTTGATAACCAGCCCAAAGTTCTCGCAGGCGGCGGAGAATAGGTCCATGCTCCGTTGCATCTCCGCTTCGGAGGTGGTGTTCAGGGCGCAGTCGTCGGCGAAGAGGAGTTCGTGCACGGTGGCTGTGGATACACGCGATTGGAAGTTCATGCGCCGGTTATTCAGGAGATGACCGTCCGTTCTATAGGCGATGCGGATTCCAGGGCGTTCGTCGCGGTAGGCGTCCATCAGCATGGGGGAGAACATAAGACTGAAGAGGGTAGGCGCCAGTACGCAGCCCTACTTCACTCCATTGGTCACTGCGAATGCCTCTGAGACAGCTCCGTTGTCCGTGACTCGCGCCATCATACCGTCGTGCAGCTGACGCACCATCTGAGTGAATCGCTCCGGACAGCCGAATTTCTGCATGATCTTCCACAGTCCTTCACGATTCACCGTGTCGAAGGCTTTCGTAAGGTCCACGAAGGTAGAATACAGGTGGGTCCGCATCTCCTGACACTTCTCCTGAAGTTGGCGGGCTGCGAAGATCATGTCCATGGTCCCACGATGACGACGGAAGCCGCATTGGCTTTCCGGCAGAAGGCCCTGTTCCAGATGGTTGTTGAGGCGGTTGAGCAGGATGCGAGCGAAGATCTTCCCGGCGATGTTCAGTAGGGAGATGCCGCGGTGATTGTCGCAGACTTGGCGATTCCCTTTTCGCTTGTATATGTGCACGATAGTTGCGTCCTTGAAGTCTTGCGGGACTTCACCTTGACGCCACATCTCCTGGAAGAGCGCAGTCAGGTGATCCATGAGTTGGGGACCTCCGTGCTTGTAGACCTCAGCAGGGCTTGCGTCCGATCCGGGTGCTTTCCCGTTGGAGAGTTGCTGCACGGCCCTGATGGTCTCCTGGAGAGATGGCGGGAGGTCGAGGTCCACGTTGGTCGCCACTTGCGGCAAGCGGGCGATGGCGGCGTCGGAGATGACGGAAGGGCGGTTGAGGACGCCTCGGAAGTGCTCGGCCCATCGCTGCAGGATTTGCGTCTTCTCAGTCAGGAGAGTGCTGCCGTCGGCGCTGAGGAGAGGAGCAGTGCCCTTTGTCGGCGGACCGTAGACAGCTTTGATCGCGGAGAAGAAGTTCTTCCATTCGTTGCGGTCCGCGTAGCCTTGGATCTCCTCAGCTTTGCGAGCAGTCCAGGCGTCCTGCATCTCGCGCAGTCGTTGCTGGAGCTGTCGGCGACTGCGGTAGAAGGCAGCTTTGTTGTCCTCAGTGGGGTGATCTACGTTGTCTTTGTGTAGGCGGTTCTTCTCGGCAAGCAGATTTCTGATGGCAGCGTCGTTGTCGTCGAACCAGTCCTGGTGTTGGCGGGGAGCGCGACCGAGGACGGCGAGCGCCGTCGACTGGACCGTGTCTCGCAGTTGACACCAGCGGTTCTCCACGGAGGCGTTCTCGGCAGCGGCGGCGGCGTCATCGGCGGCAGCGATTGGAAGATTGTCTAGCCGTTGAGCTAGCTCATTGCTGAAATGGAGACGGTGAGCAGGCAAAGACAACAAAGCAACATTCAGCTTACCTGGGGGTCGCTTACCTTGTGGTCTCCTGCGAGGCTGTAGACGAATACGCATCTTCGAGATGACGAGGCGATGGTCGGTCCACCCGTCAGCACCCGCGATCGCCTTCGTCACCAGCACGTCCCGCTGATCTCGCCTCCGGACGAGGACATAGTCCAGCAGGTGCCACTGGCGCGACCGAGGATGCCTCCAGGTGGCCTCCTCTCGCTCCGGCAGACAGAAGAACGTGTTCGTCAGGATGAGGCGGTGTTCTGCGCAAGTGCGGAGCAGCAGCAGGCCGTTGTCGTTGGAGCCGCGGAGACCGTGGGGACCCAGCACTTCCCTCCAGGCAGTATGGTCTGTGCCGACGCGGGCGTTGAAGTCACCGAGGACAATCAACTTGTCCGCCTTCGACACAGTCGCCAAGAGGGCGTGCAGGTCCTCGTAGAATTTGTCTCTGACGGCGTCGGGGTTGGTCATCGTCGGAGCGTAGGCGCTGATAATGGTGGCGAATTTGCCTCCCCGGAGAGGCAGGCGGAGGCTCATCAGGCGATCGTTGATGCCCTGCGGCAAACAGGGCAGTCGTCCCACGATGTCATTCCGAATGGCGAAGGCGACACCCGCGTCACGTCGCTCTGCCCTGGGTCGACCACTCCAGAAGAAGGTGTAACCGGCACCCACCTCCTCCAGTTGGCCTTGTTCGGAGAATCGGGTCTCGCTGAGTGCGGCGATGTCCACCTTGTAGCGCGCCAGTTCTCGTGCCACTAGCGCCGTCCTCCGTTCCGGTCGGTTGCTCCTCGGATTGTCTAAAAGGGAACGAACATTCCAGGCTGCCAGAGTGAGCGGGCTCACCCTGCCAGTCTGGCGACTGCGGCGGCGAAAAGTAGGAGTAGGAGAAGAAGAAGAATAGGCTGGAAGAGGAAGAGAGTGATTGTTGTTTTTATTGTTGTCGTTTCGGTTTTGGCTGTTTCGACCGTGTGTTTTTTGTCTGCGGCCACGGCCAGCCTACAGACAGCGTGGTTCCCAGCGATCTTTAGGGCACCTTTTCTAGCCCCCTCCCCCTCGCGGGGGCAGGCAACGCATCCCTGAACAGGGCTGCCCGGTTATCCCAGACGGCTGCCGGACTCCACTATGGGCCACGACTTTTTGTTAGTGAGAGAACGACCCGAATTAGCCTGGGACCTTGGTGGTGAGGTGATGAGGTGATGGAGTGAAGTAGGAGAGAGCGTACACACTACCTAACGCTATGGGACTTAGAACTAGAGTGGACAAGCGGACACAGTCACCACTCAGAGACAAAGTGAGGGCACCATACAAAGTCAGGCACCGTAACACCTAGCTATTAGTAGAGAGCGGCATAGACTGACGGACAGACAATCGCAGCAGGCATCGAGGGTGTCGTTTAGCTATTAACAGACAGACTAGCATATAAAGGGCAGGCAGCAAGCGCAGCGTACGACGCGGAACTTCAATAAACAAAAGGAAGAAACAAAGCAAGCGCACTTACCTGAGGGGAAACTTACCTGGTGGCCGCCTACGATGGTCCAGGCAGAGCCTCGTCTCGACGATGTCGACGCGAAGATCCATCCGGCCAGCGCAGACCACGGTACCGCGCGTGCAGGTGCACGCACGGATACCCTCACCTGGTTTAGCCCGCCGGTCGAGACGGTTGCCCGGGGTGTGGCCGCTGAGCGGAGCCCAGCTACGTGGAGCCACAGGTGAGAGTTAGGTGCCAGCAAATGGACGCTAGGCGCAGTCTCACCTGCAAGCAAGTGGGCGACCACTACGACCATCACGTGGACCCACCGCTGGCACCCCTACACCCCACTCACACACACACACACATCGATAGTTCGACCGTCGTTTCCGACGATGTCCACTGTGTGCTTCACAGCGAGCCGAGAGTAGACACGGCGACTTGCGTGTGGAATGGTTTATATTGGTAATAGACTTGCGCAGCGTCTACTTCACACTATCCCCTTCCCCACCTGGACCCAGTGTCAAGACAGAGCCACCAAGACCGGAGACAGGAAAAGCAACAGCTGGCTGGCGTGAACCCACATCTAAACGTTGTATCATACCCCTTGTCTACACATAAACAACCAGGGTTTCACGCAAACAAAAAAGGAGCGGCCGGGATCCCCACAGAGTGGGAGTGCCATAGAGGTAATTGCAGCATTTTTCCCAATCCTGAGAGGAGGACACAGTTAGCCCGTCATGACTTTTAGCTCACCAAGAGAGTTTAAAAAGGCATCAGATTGTTTATAGTGAAGAATATGCACTGAGAGAGTCGACCTCACTCTCTCTCTCCCCTCGCCCAAACGCCAGTCCACTATCGTATCCGATCAACCGACTGTTTCCCAGATTGGCAGAGGTGGCTGACAAAGCTATGAATGACCGGTTTGCGCCTGCCACACACAGAGGACCGGCTGACCCACATACATGCATCAGTATGTCAAACAAAAGAGGAGGTTGACTGCTCAGATCTCACAGAAGAGCCACATGGAGAGGAAGCCGAAGGATGTTTTAGGTGTTCATCCCTGTGGTCGAGTCGAGACGATGGCGTCTGGAGTACATTGGTGCTTCACGAGCTGGTCTGTCAGACTCTGTGTGTGGTGGATTCCCAAGTGGCCGACAGGGCTGATGTGTGGGGTGAATGTGCGGTCGTAATGAGGACAGGTTGGGGCTGGGTTCACATCGGTAGGGGTGTTGGCAGTGGCTGATGGTAGTTGTCGTCGCCTTAGTGGGGGGGAGGGGGATGTTGGAGGTGGCGGGGCACGGGAACTGCGATTATCGGTGATTAGGACGGTCGTCGTTGCGGCCGTCGTGGGGATTAGTGCAGAGGTGACGATGGTGGGCGGTTGTGGAGGCAGCAGATGTGGTCATTGGGTTGTCGTTGTTGCACTGGGCTCCGAGATGTCTGACGGGACCAATCCGCGCGCAGAATGTTCGTTGGCAGCGTGAACATGTTGGAAGAGGTTAGGCGTTGGCGTTTTGGACGAGGTTTGTTTTTGCAGCCCTATTTGAATGATGTCATCTGGTAGGCCTCCTAAAAAAATTTCGGTAAGATGTGGTTTTGTAGACCCGCCTGATGGACATAATACTGTTGGGGTTGGGGTTAAGAGTTAGGGTTAGGGGCTATGGTTAAGGACTATGGTTAGGGGGTAGGGTTAGAGTTCAGGGCTAGGGGTTAGGGTCTAAGATTAGGGGTCTGAGTAAGGAGTTAGGGTTCGGGGTTAGCACGACTATTTCTCACCTATTCAAAGTAAAAATGCCTATTCCCAGTAGCTTTTCTTTTGCATACAACCACCGGTCCCGTATTAGAAGTGAATGGGGTCTGCTTACTTCAGCTGGGGCTACCAAACCACGTCCGACCAAAATTTCGCTAGATACATATACGCCGGCTTTACAAGTACCACATATTCGCATCTTTCCTAAAATTTTAATTCAGCGAGGGGCTAGGTAGACTTATTAATGGATTTCGGAATAGACATGAGAAATTTGCGGAGGCGAGCCAAACAAACTGGTCGATCGATACGCCAGGAGTGCGTCACTTCATTACGGCGCCATTTCACCCTGAAACAAGTGAAGGCAACTCTTTACAATTTTACTCCAGCGGGTAGCCAAGTAGACTTGTTAATGGAATTGTTCCGACGGTGTGGAACTCCGTCGAATCCACTGCAGTGGCCATGCGCTGCGAATTACAACGCGGTACCCTCAGTGGCCTTCCAGCTGTGATTTCACCCTCCCCCCCATATCCTCCTAATCCAGCGAGTGGCCGTGTCGGGGAGGGGGGAGTTTGTACACGCCACCATCACTTGCTTCCCTGCGCTTGCTTCGAGCTCTGTTTACACTCTCTTTCCTTTCCTAATCCGACGAATTAGATATGTTAACTAAAACTGCTTTGTTATTGGCAGAATGGCATTACTGACAAAGGGGACTGGAATGGCCATTGCCGGCCTATTAGTCGTCGTCAGCCAGTCATACCCAACCCCGAAGTGTGGAACACCCGAGGCTCGAACTCGCCACCTGTTAGTTAGAAACCCACGCCTCCAATCACTGGGCCACGAGGCCGTTGCCCTGTCGGTTTTCTATCGGGAATATACAATGGTAGGGGGGGGGAGGGACTCACCGATCGTTCATACGGAACTCAGTGGTTCCTTGTGCCTTACGGGCTCTCTCTCGTGCCCAACCAACAGCCGCACAGCGGCGCATGATGTATAGGCAGAATGGCATTACCGACAAAGACAAGGGAGACTGGAATGGCCATTTCTGGCTTATTAGCCGTCGTCAGCCAGTCATACCAAACCCCGAAGTGTGGGGCACCCGAGACTCGAACTCGCCACCTGTTAGTTAAAAGTTCACGCCTCTAACCACTGGACCACGAGCTAGTTGCCCTGTCGGTCATTGTTTTGGTATCAATTAAGTGGGTCTGCAGAACCGAACCTCGTATTCTTATGGATCGGGGACGCCAGAGACTTGTACAGTTCTCTTTTGCAGCGGTTATCCGGTTGGCTTTATACAGCGCGTGACCGATCTCATGAAATGTTGGCGGAAATTCTGAAATGCATTTTCGATTAGAAAGGATTAATTAGCTGGGACTGTAATATTGTTCATGATGACACATAATCCTATAGTGTTTCGGGTGTAGGCTTTTGAATGAACTTCTTTTTGACCTTCTGCAGAAACCATACTCTGTAAAAAAATGACTACCTACAAGGTACATGCTATCCGCGTAAGGGAAATCATATATTCCTATATGCCTTTAAGAAGATACCATAAGGAGTTCATTGAAATTTTGTAGGGGATGCTGACTATGTTGTACGTTTCATGAGGAGTACTTGTAAACGGACATGTGCGATGCTGTATGTGTGGGCATCGCACGGTCTTAAACGTTTTATAATTAGAAACTTTTTTAAAACCTAAAGAGACCATTTATTCAAGTGTAAAACGTGAAGATTAAGGTGATTTTTTTACCAAAAGAATAAAAGAAAGCACATTTTGCGCATGTTTTCTATAAAACATATTTGAATTTACAGGACCATCGCAAATCAATGTGAACAATGCGTGCTACTTAAGTAGTAATTTTTACCGAGTGTGGTTTCTGCAAATCAAAAAGAAGTGCATTCAAAAGCCGACAACAAGCGAGCCCGAAGTACTATAGGATTATGTCTCATGATGAACAATATAACAATCCCAGCTAAGTCATCCTTCCTAATCGAAAACGCATTTCAGAATTTCAGCCAACATTTCATGAGATCGGTCACGCACCTTGGATGGCTGTTCCAGTTTTGACTGCTTTTCTTCGGGCCGGTCGGTCCAGCTCCAGGCCTCTCCGGGTTGATTTAAATTGCTCCAAGGAATTCTTCAAGCTGTCCTTGTAGCGACGTGTTTGACCTCGTCAGAGAGCGCCCGTGGCGACATCTCCATGCAAGAGATGTTTTGGTAGCTGAGCGTCGTCCATTATCTCCAGGTGGCCATTCCATCATAGTTGTTGTTGTTGCTTCAGCGTGATATGGAAGATGCGAATTATGCTCCTTTCCAAAAGTTCCATGTCCGGAATCCTGTCCTGATACCTCCGATTTAGTACCCACCGAAGACAGTTGAGACAAAGAAGATTGAGTTTTTGCGCTTGATTTCTGTAGACTATCCTGGTTTCCGCTCCATGCACCAGGGTCGTCAGAATGACAATTTTGTACATTATGAGTTTGGTGTTGAGGAGGAGAGCGTAGCGACTCCATACGCCGGGTTCTGCAGCCGGCCAATGCTTTGGCCGTCTCTAGAGATCCGGTCGTCGATTTGGTGCAGCGTGTGAGTGCGCTGCCTACGTAGGCGAGGTTTCAACAGTCTTCATTTCGGTGTCGTTGACGTGGGCGTGAGGAAAACTGTGTGCAGCTTTCGGTAGCAGTTGGTGTGTGACCACCGTTTTGGAAGACGAAGATGCGATCACTGGAACAAGAAATTTATTGGCCTGACGTTTCGGATTCTCCCTCGAATCCATCCTCACAGACATTCGCAGATAAAGGCGATGATGGCACAGGGAGTGCAGTATTTATAGCACGTGGCTGACGTGGGACCGTATGCGCACTGCAATTAACAGCTCTTGCAATCACCGCTGAGATCGCAATTGATGAGGTGGTGGCTTGTCAGTCCGAGTTCGAGTCGTTAATTGCAGTGATTTCGTCAGCCGTGCTGGATGCTGGTGTGACGACTGTTCGGCAAACTGGCTCACTGTCACTGGGACAATTGCTCGCCCGCGCCCTCCCTACGTGACTGATTACTCTGCGCAGGGAAAATCTCAGCAGGGAATATGGTACCGGGTGGTCATTGTGCTTGTTGATGGATTGCGGGCCTGAGAACCATGACTCGAGCAACTCGCGGCTCACGTGGTTGTCACCTCTTGCGAGAATTCGGCCTCTTGAAATTTGAAAATATGGCCGGATCCCGTCGAGTGCGCCGCCGCCTGAGAGCTAGCGTCTCCCCGCCTCACTGCTGCTGCTTGCTCGACAATTCGCGTACGGAGTAATCTCCCAGTTTCTTCGGCGTAATTGCTTTGTCCGCAAGTGCACCAGATCTGGCAAACGACT